TAAGAGGATGTTAGCATAATAAAGTTCATTGTGTAAATACATGTCTGTGTGAACGCGGAAGTGAGTGGGAGTGGGGACCACCCACGTGAAACCGAGTGAACACCGTAGTTTTCTTTTTTTTGTTTGCGGATGCGATGGGGCCCACGTTGATGTACTAGAGATGAGAAATAAAGCCCACGACCCGATTTTTGTCAGCTATATAACCTTGTACTCGTAACCTAGGTCGGAGTGCAGGAGGGCGTGCAAAGGAGAACTTTTTCGGCTTGGTGTCTTTTGCGGCTACAGTGCAAGGGGAATTGTTTTCGGCTAAGAAAAGCAGAGGCTTTTTTTTTAGGGATTTGTGTACCTCTTTTGTAGAGAGATATTTGTGAGGGATTTGAGAGTTTGTGTGAGGGTTTAAATTGTGAGTGATTGTAAACCCTAGTTGTATCTCTCCCTCTAATAGTAGATCTCCCCCTCCTTGCCCCGTGGACGTAGGCAGTTTGCCGAACCACGTAAAAAATTGATTGTTTGAGTTTGTGGCCATTGTAATAGTTTTAGGATCCCTCGACGCGCAGTCCTAGAGCTGACGAGAGGAAGAGCAAATATCCCACTTTGATGGGATATTAGGCTTTCAGATTCTTGTTCCCTTTGAGAAACAAGAATTCTTATCGATCTTTCTCTCTTATTGTGCACCAGAAACTCTGCCGAAATTTCCGCTGCGCACAACAAGTGGTATCAGAGCCCAGATTCCAGATCTAGGGTTTGGTTGAAGGAGTAGATCAATTTGGAGGCCCGTTTAGGACTTCGTTGGTGATAAAGGTGGGATCTTTTGGTAAAGACTCTATCTTTCAGTTTTGGATCTATTCTTTGTTCGTTGGTGCGTAAGATGTCGGGGAAAGAAGGTGCTTCGGGTGTCGAGGGCGGTGCTTCTGGCGCGAAGACCATTCAAAGTCTGAATATCCATTCTATGAAGATAGATGTGGAGAAATTTAATGGCACAAACAACTTTGGATTATGGAGATGCGAGGTTTTGGATGCGCTGAACGCGCAGAATTTGGAGGATACCTTGGAGTTAGATGGCAAGCCAGATGAGATTAAAGAGAAGGTTTGGAAGAAGATGAATCGAACGGCGTGTGGTGTGATTAGGTCTTGTTTGACTCAAGATCTAAAATATGATGTGATGAATGAGACTTCTGCGAAGAAGATTTGGGAGATTCTCGAAAGCAAGTATTTGACCAAGAGTGTGGAAAATCGCTTGCATTTGAAGAGGAGACTTTATCGTTTCCAGTTGAAGAAGGGAACCTCCATTAGAGATCACATGAACCACTACACAAAGCTTCTTGCGGATTTGGCGAATGTGGATGTCAAGATTGAAGATGAGGACAAGGCGTTGCTGTTGTTGAGTTCCTTGCCCGACGAGGAATATGAGACCTTCGTTCTTACTCTGATTAATGGGAAGGCATCACTTTCGTATAGTGAGGTCACTGCTGCACTTGTGAATTATCAGCTTCGAAAGAAGGATAAGGAGGCTTCAGTTGAGCCGGTAGCAGAGGCGTTGGTCGCAAGAGGGAAGAATCCAAACCGGAAGAATTGGAAGTCACAGTCTAGAGTAGGGCATCCTACAATTGGAAAAGATCAGTGTGCTTGGTGCAAGGAGACTGGTCATTGGAAGAAAGACTGCCCAAAGCTCGACGAATGGATGAAGAATAAGCAGAAGGGAAAAGGGAAGCAACCATCATCAGAAGCAAACATCGTATCGGATGGTAATAATTCTGACTCTTCTATTTATTCGCTTTCTATCAGTCCTACAGATAGCTATTCGGAGGAATCTGAATGGATGTTGGATAGTGGTGCGACCTATCATGTGTGCCCTAGAAGGGAATGGTTCTCCAGTTTTGAGAAGCTGGTGGATAGTGGTGTGGTGTACATGGCTGATAACCGTGCATGCCAGATCCTTGGGATAGGAAGAATTCGCATAAAGATGTTTGACGGGACTGTTAGAGAGTTAAACGATGTGAGATATGTTCCTTCTTTGAGGAAGAACTTGATCTCGATTGGAGCTTTGGTTGGAGAGGGTCTGAAGGTTCGTGTTGAGGACATGGTTCTCGAGATTGCGAGAGACTCTCGTATTTTGATGAAGGGCGTCAGGAGAAATAACCTGTATTACTTGACTGGAGGTATAGTGGCAGGTGGAGAGCTGACGACTTCTGTTGATTCGACTAGACTGCGGCATTTGGGGCTTGGCCATTCCAGTATTGATTCCTCGCATAGATTGAAAGAGGGTGCAAAGACCTGCAGTTTGAAGTCCAGTGAACATGTTGATGTGAGCAAGAAGACCGAGGTGAAGTGTGGCACCTCTATTCACCGTGCTAAGGGTCGTTCTGGAGGAGTTCACGTGGATGTTTGGGGGCCTTCCAAGGGGGCATCATTGGGAGGTAATAGGCGTTTGGTTTCCTTTGTTGGTGGCTGTTCTAGGCGTGTTTGGGTTGCAACCAAATCCCCTTTGGAGAAAGTCCTAGTAGTTTCCAACAGATTGAAGAAGTAGTTTGGATATGACCATTGGTTCACCTCAGGTGGAGGTGTTTGAGGCCATTGGAGGTGCTATCAGCCGCAGAGTTGATGATATTGGAGAAGGGTTGCGAACTCTTCTAGTGAATTGAGGTCGTTCGCGGCCATTTGGGTGAACTACGTTCGGCTTGATTCCTTGGGCAAGAGGATACGTAGGCAGTCCTTATGATGCAGCCGGTTTGGATTTTTGATGGGGGTGAGATCGATTTGGTGAGTTGATACTGACATTTGGAGAGTGTTTGCATTCTCATTTGGGTTCTCGACTTGTTATGGATTGATTCTGTTGTCGTGAATTGTTTCACGGTGTACTGGACACAACAAGTGAGGCATTTGGTTTGGTTGGTGTCGGCTCAGTTTTGGAAAAACTTCGCCGAGGTGGAGAATTGTTGATAGAGACATGTGGAAGGCTAAGGCGGTGGTTTCAAAGCAGCATGTGATTTCTATGCGTGTGGGGACCACTCATCAAAGAACTCGTTTTTTTTTGGTTTTTCGTTTCCACATGAGCCCACCCGAACCTTGACATGACCCGACTTCCAGCTGCTATAAAAGGGTCACCTAGGGTTTCGTGAAGAGGTGGTTCAAAAGGTGAGGGGTGCTGCAGACAGAGAGCAAGGCTACGGGAACTTTGCGGCTGCAGGTGCGAAGGAGAGTTGTGCAGGAGGGCGTGCAAAGGAGAACTTTTTCGGCTTGGTGTCTTTTGCGGCTACAGTGCAAGGGGAATTGTTTTCGGCTAAGAAAAGCAGAGGCTTTTTTTTTAGGGATTTGTGTACCTCTTTTGTAGAGAGATATTTGTGAGGGATTTGAGAGTTTGTGTGAGGGTTTAAATTGTGAGTGATTGTAAACCCTAGTTGTATCTCTCCCTCTAATAGTAGATCTCCCCCTCCTTGCCCCGTGGACGTAGGCAGTTTGCCGAACCACGTAAAAAATTGATTGTTTGAGTTTGTGGCCATTGTAATAGTTTTAGGATCCCTCGACGCGCAGTCCTAGAGCTGACGAGAGGAAGAGCAAATATCCCACTTTGATGGGATATTAGGCTTTCAGATTCTTGTTCCCTTTGAGAAACAAGAATTCTTATCGATCTTTCTCTCTTATTGTGCACCAGAAACTCTGCCGAAATTTCCGCTGCGCACAACAGTCTGTATATACATATAAAGCATAGTAAAGAAAATGTACCTTCAACAAGATGGTAAAGCTCAGAAAAGTACTATCGCACTGCTAACGTGTTGTGAAATACTTTGTAGAACTAACAATTTATTCCTTGAGATTAGAAAATTTAGAGAGCTAGAGAACTTTTCTTTTCACTTGCTCTTTTGCTTCATGCATTACCACTATATATACATCTATGAGTTACAAGACTTTAGAAATAATTCTAAAAGTCAAATGAGAAGAAGTAAATTCATGAGTTTATGGACATCCATAAATAGGTTCATAACACAAGTTGATTTTTATCAAATTAAATTCTAAAACTCAAACTCAACCCTACTCGATGACCATATTTCTTAGTCTAAATTATTGAACTAAGAAAAGAAGTTAGAACAAAGTACAAGTTGTCCAAAGCCAGTGAACTTAAACAGTCAAAAGGTAGACAAAGCCAATTTACGCGTACAGCTAGGTTTCTTCATCTACGTCTTCGCTTGAGAGAATTAAAGAAAAACAATGTGAGCATTCATTTAGTGTGGACAGTGGACTCAAGTCTTCAAAATTTTCTTCAAAATATGCTTTTAAATATCCTTTGCAGCCCAGAAGCTTTTAAATAAAGTTCAAGCACAAAGCTTCAAAAAATTCTTCCAAGATTAGAGTTCCCACACTTTTCAAATCCTTTGGGCGGCCTACGCAGAGAAAGTACACGAGATAAATTGCTTGTCTCCTCTGGAAAATTTATTTATCTCTGTCTCCTGCTTAGAAAATGCACGTATAATACTACAATTATTATACTAGACCCAAGGGCTTGACGTTATCATCCACATAAATCATTCAGATTTTACTGTCCGCATCTTGCAACATTAGATTTGAAGGTACACGGCAACCGGCACATTTCTTATACCAATGATCACTAGCTCAACCAAATCCCAATCCAAAGATATACGCCCTCAGTAGTCAAGAGGGTGGGCGGCTATAGACTGGACTAAGATTGGTTCATCCTTAATCGAAATAGGAACAATGCAGTATTTTTTAGGATCTCTTTATAACATATTGACATCGCATAACATCCTTTGAACAAAATATAGATAACTGAGAAATGACTTCATTTTGAAATCAAGAGGTCAAAGTGATGATAAAAAGTTTATGGGTAGTACAAAGGATGTATCTCCAATCAATCCTTGAAGATAAATCCCCTTAGAGTTTCTAATAGGACACAACTAGAAACAAGTGTTGACTCCTTGATATATAAAACGAGGAGAATTTGTACACGGCTTTATTATTAAATCTTCAACAGACCAGAAGTGAGAGATCTACGCAGTACACAAACCACTGACAGCACATACACCTATTCTGCCGACACGGCCTATTTCTTATTCCCCAGTGCCCGTATGCAAACATCAAATACAACACGGACACTCATTTTTATAGTATTTACTCAACAAATGCACTAAAACTGTCTCCAACAGAAATCATGATGCTCATGCTTCTAGCCTAAAACATGTACATATTGTTGATAATAGTGTATTGTAGTGGGTTTTAGTCCCACATTGCTTGGGAGAACAAACCTCACACTCCTCTACTTGTATAAATATATGTGCACACTCAATATTCAATTCAAGGGAAATTTACCCAAGATTCTCTCTCTCTCTTACTTTAACATGGTATCAGAGCTAGGGCTATTTCCCTTTCAATAAAATTTTTAACGCTTTTGCGTTCTTTTGCCAAATCTTGGCCTTATTGCTTTGCAGCCGTTTAATGTTTTATTTTTTTTTATTTTTATTTTTAATTATTTGGCGTTCATCTGCCAGATATTTTGGCCTTGTCGTTTTGCGGCCTCTTAACGCGTTTCGCGTTCTCGTTTAACCTTCGGGTTCTATTTTAAACCTTCGGGTTTCATTCTAACCTTCGGGTTCTATTTTAAACCTTCGGGTTTCATTCTAACCTTCGGGTTCTATTTTAAACCTTCGGGTTTCATTCTAACCTTCGGGTTCTATTTTAACGGCATTGTCGTTTCAAGACCGTCTCTCGGTCTCAAATTAACGGCATCGTCGTTTCAAGCCGTCTCTCGGCCTCAAACGAACGACATTAGTAACAGCATCTCGACATCTTAACGTCTCAAGATTGCTGTTATGGCTCCTTCAGAGAAGATTCCCAAACCACCTTTGCCCCTCAATGATCAAAGTGACTGGGCAGGGTGGTCCACCATTGTCACCAATGCCTTGCGTGGCGCTGGTTTGCTTGATCATCTCACCAGTACGGGACCAGTTCCACCGTCCATCAGCACTGTTGCTTCATCCAGTACTATTGCCTCTGGCAGTGGTGATGTCGATCTTCAGACTGCTCGTGCTCTCTATGTCAAGGAGAGTTCAGAGTGGCAATTGCAGGAATTTCGTGTTATGGATTATCTCACTCGCTGTGTTGGCTCTGGTCTCACTGTCGAGATTGGCTCGCTTCCCTCTGCTCAGGCCATGTGGACTCGTCTCACTGAGCGTTTCACTGAGTGCTCGGGTGCACGGGAGGCATATCTTCTGCAACGCATTTCTCTACAACGCAAAGGTAGTTCATCTCTGCAGTCCCATTTTGGACAAATGCAAGCTTTTTGGACAGAGTTACGCTCCATGCTTCCTCAAGAGGTTTCTTAAAACTCTCAAATCGCGATCCTTTGGAGAGAATACGATCAACCATAGAATTCAAAAAGGAGATGAAGCCGTCGAGATCAGAGCAAATGCCGGCTTTATCCGGATCCTCGTCTGCTAACAAAGCTCGGATGCGATCTGATAATGATGATGAAGGAACTGCGATGAAGGCAAATAGGTCAGTACAGGACATATATATACATACAAAACAACAAACTAAGACATACCAAGTTCGATGGAAGAACCTTCAGCATGACTTAGTTCACCCGAGGATGGTAACCTGATTTCCGGAACAACCAAGGTTGATTCAGGAATGGTAGCTGTTGATGCACCCGCTACATCAGAGGCTTTTTCAATTAAAGCTTCAGAAGACGGCGGGTCCAAGCTAAGAGGCTCTTTAAGAGTTGATTCTACAAACGAAGGAGTTACAATGAGCATAATGAGATGTTAACCCAAAATTTGAAACAAAATTATGGGTAAAATGTACCAGCAATAGGCATAACATCAGCCGACGTACCAACGCCTTCAGTTGGTCTCGCTTTTGTTGCGACCGGACTAATCTGGGGAGTGACAGTGACTTCTATCATCATAGGGTCCATAGGAGTAGAAGGTTGAGGCTCAAGAACTGATGATTGCAAATCAACCTCAGTTCCTGCCCATGGCACGAGTTCGCTACCCTCTGGCCGATCAGACGTTCCAGTAATTATAGTAGTATCAGCTCCAGCAGTTGGTCCTATAATTCAGACACTTATATGATTAATCAAGTCAAAATATATACGTATATATATATGTGGAGTTCACAGAACCAAAGTCTTACTCTCAGAAGGACCGGCTTCCGTTGAACCAATTCCAACATCTGAGCCGATAGTTGCATCAGAGGCTTTCTCTAACAGAGAATCAAGGATTTGTTGATGGTCGTCCTCTGAGATATTAAAGTCGAAATTATTAAAATCATCGACTTTGGTGGCATGGGTAGCTTCTCCTTCAATAGGCTCGTGCATCGGGATGTCTAAAGAACATGAGGAACCATAAATAACATGTAAATTTAGACGAATCTGCCCAAGACAAAGATCGATTTTACCTTCATTGGTCGGGGCTGATTCGAGAGCTCCACTACTGGTACCTGCTTCTTTTAATTTGACTAAAAGGAGAGAAAGCGCACAGGTCATTAGAGGAGGCACACGGTCCGACTCATTCATTTCTCGGATTTCTCTTCCGAGAGGAGAAAGATCAGTACCTGTGTCCGCAGCTGATGGATCAACGTCAGGAGTGGGTGGAACATCAGCCGATCCTTCCTTCAGAGCATCATGCATTTGTTGGACGAAGCTTGTTTCCTCAATTTCCATACCTCCGGGAGAAGCAGCATCAGCTGGCAATTCTCCTTCCTCTCGACTCCCTGCAGAAGTTGAACATGAAATAAGTTTGAACGTCAAAAAGTGTAAAAGCTATAAAAACAAATCGTTACCTTGCTCATCAGAAGAAGCACTACGACCAGACGCCTCTTCTACAGCAGGAAGATGAACGCGCGGTTTAGAAACAGCTTTCTTCTGTTTCTTCAGAGGGCGTGCACCAGAACCTTCATGACGATGTTTGGTGCGTAACTCAGCTCGGGGAGAAACTTGAGTTTGAGCTTGAGTAGAAGTTCGAGATATTTGCCGACGAATGAGAGGCACCATATCCTCTTCATCCTCTTCGTCGCAACTAAGAACTTCTACCGTCATCCGGTTAGGATGTTCCATGACGACTCTTTCCTTACGTTTCTTTGGAGCAGCTTGTGGTTGGGTCGGAGCGACAGAAGGCCTTACAAGTCCTCTATCAAAGAATGAATCGGGAAGGCCAGATACTTCCTCAGAACTTGATTCATTCTCGTCTTCCCCTTCTGAAGTTTCGGTTGCTTCACTATCAAACTCCTCTTCACTATCAACTGGGAGAGCCGGTTCCTTTCCTTTCCTTGATGATTCAGCAGCCTCTTTTCCTCGAGGCGACATCACAGCTTCACGAGGCGGTTCTGTTGCTTGTCGTGGAGCTATTTCCTCCTCTGAGTCTGATATCCTCCTACGTCGAGTGGCAATATTGGTGGCTATCAGCCATTTGCAAAAGAGGAAAGTCATCCGTAGAGGCGGCGTCTCTAAGGGGAGATCAAATTCAACATTGGTGCAGCCGGCAATGCTCCAAAACCAAGCTCTCGCCCCGTCGATAAGTCCACCTCGAAAGCTGAGGTGACGATTCGGGTTGCCGATGTATATCTGATCATACCCGAACTGACGGGCGAATCGACATGGAAGATAGGGTTCGATGTGGCAAACATCCCTTATCCTGAACAACAGATATCCGGGACGAATGTTCATCAACCATCTGAAGCACCCGACATCCAAGATAGTGCGATTCTGCCTCGGGTCTTCAGCATCTACTAAAGTAGTATTGTAGGTACCGGAGAACTGAGGGAAGCAGGGGAAAAATTCCCAACACTTGTGAATTTTAAACTGCCTCGTTATGTCGGGTTCTCGATGCCTGATCCATTTGCAATTCTCGAGATTCTGCAACAGAGGGATGCTAGAATTTGCCGTCTCAGGAGCTTCCATTAAATCTGGTCGATGAAGTACTAACCAGGTCATCAGATAAGTATAAGGTAGCTCCAGCTTCGGAACGGACAGACTGGCAGAGGGTTTCTTTTTCTCCTGAGTAAACACGGAGATTAATTGCCGTAATCCACTATGAATATCGGCCACCATAGCGGGAAGCAAAGATAATTTACGACCTGTACACATCTCTTTAACCATAAAGCTAGAAAACCCGCCAGCAGAGCAGTAGAGCTAATCGGAACACCAGCTTGCCACAGATAAGAGCGGAATTTAGTGCCGTGTAAAAATCCATCTTCTGAGCGCGAGGTATAAGATTGCGCGTTGGTTTTCCCTAACAGGCGATTGATTTCATCAGTACTCAAAGGAGACAATCCGCACACATCTGCTGAACGATCATCCAAATTCTTGAAGAGATAATCGGCGAATTGTTTCAAGCTGACCTAAGGAAATTTCTTTCTAGCTTTGGGCTCCATATCGGCCATGGCTATATGATAATGGCAAGTCAATTCCCATAAAGTATCATGAGTCACAGTTGAGCTATCTAGTGCCATCCAGATTGCTAATAATCCAGTATTTCATGAAAGGACCAAACATATTGAGATCGACGCTCATTTTGTCCGTCACCAAGTTATCAAGGACAAGACAATTCTACTTCCTCATGTTTCATCCGCTGACGAGCTTGCAGATTTCTTCACAAAGGCCTTACCTGTTCATCGGTTCCAGTTTCTTGTACGCAAACTCACTTTGTTTGATCCAACATGAGTTTGAAGGGGGCTGTTGATAATAGTGTATTGTAGTGGGTTTTAGTCCCACATTGCTTGGGAGAACAAACCTCACACTCCTCTACTTGTATAAATATATGTGCACACTCAATATTCAATTCAAGGGAAATTTACCCAAGATTCTCTCTCTCTCTTACTTTAACACATATAAAGCACACACAGCACCTGAAACAAGAGAATCAGACACTCTCCTCTCTAATCTCCACAATGCAAATCCTAGCCTTCACCTTCCTCTTCTTCAACATAATCCCTCTCTCAACCTCTTGCGTCCCTGATGAAATCGGCGCCCTGAGAGATCTCAAGCTGGGCCTTGAAGACCCCAGCCAGCGGCTGGCCTCTTGGACCGGAGATGACTGCTGTTCATGGGCTGGCGTGGGCTGTGACAATCGAACCGGGCATGTCATTAGGCTTGACCTGCACACCCGTACGTCAAATTATAGCATGAAACTCAATGGTGCATTCAGTTCATCGACGATTTTTCTGGAACACTTACAGTACTTGGATGTCAGTGGAAATGACTTCAAGGGTTCTTCAGTTCCTTCGTTTATTGATTCCTTTAAGGAGTTGAGCTATTTGGACCTCTCGAATGCAGGATTCTATGGTACTGTGCCTCCTCAAATTGGAAACATTTCAGGTTTGCGACATATCGATATCTCTGGAAATTATTTCTCTGATGATGATAACGGCAATGCTGGGTTGTTCCAAGCATTGAGCAGGCTCAGTTCATTAGAGTTCTTGAATCTTGTTTATTGTGGTCTCAGTATAATTCCTCAGTCTCTTTCATCTGATAATGTTTTCAGATCCTTGTCATTCTTTGATCTCTCTATTAACAGATTCAACTCCTCAATCCCCAACTGGGTTTTCAATATCACTAGCCTTCAACACCTTGATCTCTCTGGTAATTTTTTCCAAGGCCCTATACCTTCATCAGTCGGAACTTTAAATTCCCTCAATTTTCTTGGTATTTCTGGTATCTATAACATTGTTTCAATACCCAGTGAATTGGGAAATTTGTGCAACTTGAAGATCTTGGACCTTTCCTACTCACCTCTGAGGACTGAGTTCATCAAATTGGAGAGGATTTTCTCAGGATGTATCCGAAACAGTTTGGAGTACTTAGATTTCCCTCGCTCAGAACTCTCTGGTATATTGCCAGAATGGATTGGAGAAATCAAGAATCTGAAATCACTTCAGTTGTTCGGTAACTCAATTTATGGTTCGGTACCTGATTCTATTGGCAGGCTATCTCATTTAGAGACATTGCACATCGGAAGCAATTTATTGAATGGAACTATCACCAAAAGTCTTGGGCAATTATCTAATCTTATGTCGCTAGATCTTTCTGAAAATTCTTTACATGGGGTCCTTTCTGAAGTGCACTTCGGTAATCTGACACGGTTAGATTTTCTGGATTTGTCTTCGAATTCGTTGATTATTGAAATTGATTCAGACTGGATTCCGCCTTTTCAACTTGAATACTTATCTCTGGGTCATTGCAAGATTGGTCCTAGCTTTCCTTTGTGGCTGAGTAACCAAAACAATCTTACTTACTTAGATTTGTCTCAAATCGACATTTCTGATACTATGCCAGATTGGTTCTGGAGCTTAACTTCGAAGCTCAACTATCTGGATCTTTCGAACAATCAAATCATTGGAAAACTGCCAGACTCTTTGGTGCTCGGTGATGGCGATTATGTGCAAGTTTTTCTAAATTCAAATAAATTCTATGGTGGTGTTCCACGAGTTCCTCCAAATGTTGCAAGGTTGAGCTTATCAAACAATTCCCTTTCGGGGCAAATTCCTGATAGCATTTCTGACGAAAAGTCTATACTGGAGTTCACATCATTCTCCAATAATAAATTGATCGGTACAATACCCTCATCAATTTGCAAGCTGCGGAAATTGCACTATCTCGATGTTTCAAGCAATCATCTCTCAGGCGAGCTCCCTAATTGCTGGAACCGATCATCAGAATATTTACAAGGTTTAGATTTCTCAAACAACAACTTCACCGGTAAATTTCCTCACTCAATTTGCTTATTGCCATCGCTTATAACGTTACATTTAAGCAACAATGAACTCACTGGAGAGCTCCATTCCTCATTGAAGAGTTGCATCAACTTGGTAACTCTTGATCTCAGTTTCAATCGATTCAATGGAGAGATACCAACCTGGTTAGCAGAAAGCCTCAACAATCTAAAGATACTCGGTTTACGGTCTAATTTGCTCGGTGGCAATATACCTCCTCAGTTATCTAAACTCGCCTACCTTCAGATTCTCGATCTAGCACGCAACAATCTATCAGGCTCTATACCACGAAGCTTTGGCAACTTCAGTACCATGAAGAATGCCGAAAGCTCACTGGCTCCCGTCTTAACTAGCTTCATCAATTTCAATGATCATATGCAATTGAGCATCAATGGAATGGACCTTCAATACGAAGGCTCGCTGTCTCTGTTAAAGACCATAGATCTGTCTGATAACAACTTGTCAGGAAAAATCCCTGCAGAGTTAGCAGACTTAGTTGGATTGCAGAGCCTGAACTTATCGAAAAACCATCTAACTGGAAGAATCATTGAAGATATAGGAAACTTACGGCAATTAAGGTCTCTCGATTTGTCGAGAAATGAGCTGTCTGGTGAAATTCCTCCAAGTTTGGGTGAGCTAACATTTTTGAGTCAATTGAACCTGTCATATAACGAATTATCGGGGAGAATTCCATCTGGTAAACAGCTCCGGGCCCTCCCTTATCCTTCAATATATGTGGGCAACAGAAACCTCTGTGGATTTCCTTTGCCAGAATGTGGAAGTGGTGATTAAACTCTATCTCCAACGAGCTTGATTGGTGAAGATGAAGTAGATGAAATTGAGTGGATTATTTCAGGTTTTGCTCCAGGTTTTGGAGTGTGTATTTCAGTAGTCTGTTGGGTGTTAATTTTTCACAAGAAAAGGAGAGATGCATGTTTTAATATGTTAGATAGTGTATGTAATAGCCTTCCATTTGTAACATCCAGACAATCTCATGACAATAAAAACTCAATTGAATTGATTTTGTGGTTGTGCACACTTCTTTATTAATGTGAAACTCATTTCACTTTCTGTGCATATTTTTTGAGTTATCGCTGAACTGTTAAACCTTTTGATGATAATTTGATGGTGCTTAAATCAAATGTTAAATTTTTTGAGTTATCGCTGAACTGTTAAACCTTTTGATGATAATTTGATGGTGCTTAAATCAAATGTTAATGCATCTTTTATTTAACTGTTAAACCTTTTGATGATAATTTGATGGTGCTTAAATCAAATGTTAATGCATCTTTTATTTATCTGCATGACAAGAATTACAGGGTTGAAAATATATAATGTTATAAAAGCAGATTGATTTTAGGTATAAAGTATGTCTCTAAGCAGATGAACTAGTAAAGACAAGAAGAAAACTTCAACAATGATAGATTCATGTAGAAGTATTCAAATTTGAAAGATAAAATGGAGGAATATAGTAACGCTGATTCATAATGAAATAACATATAGCTGAATATGCACACAATTAAGCCTATGTCTTCTTATAATTAAACATGGGTCTTTTCTAAAGTAGGAGATACATTTAATACTAGTTTCCATCAGTAACACAATGTCATATATGTTTTAACAAAATAACAATCTCGACTTTATATTTCGAGATGAGATTCTTGCGCACCAACTGCACTTTGTAAGAACCATAATCAAATCAAAATGAGCATATATATATTTTAACAAAATAAACAATCTAGATTTTATATTTCAAGCTGAGATGCTTGCGCACTAACTGCGTTTTGCAAGAACCATAATAAAATCAAAATGGGCATATATTCCACAACGTTCAATAAGAATGAAACTATCTGAAGCCTGTCTATGAATGACATACATGGATAAGTAACTAAGAAACATATATTAAAAAATTATATAACGTTTATCACAGCAAGACAATTTAAGATTTAAACATATAAACACTACATAGAATTATTTTTGGCACACAACAAACCTATGAATATTTATGTTTCATTTAGTAATATATAATCTCCAGTTACAGAAACAATAATGAAAAACTGGATATAATAGTAAGAGTTATCATTTGAAGCGCCGATCTAACACGAAGCCCTCTGGGGTTGATGTCTATATCAAACTTGTCCATTTTCTCTTTTATTTTCTTCAAATCCAAATAAAAGGATACGTCATAGCAAAGCCGTTCACATTGCTGATAAAACTTCAAATTGCAAGTGTCATCATTAATTACAGTCAAATTTACTCAGCTTCATCAAACTTAGTGAAAAACCTAATTCCAGAATTTGCATTATTCCCCTTATTTCAAAGTTTAAATAATTGCTACAATAAATCTTCACATTTTTCATGGGCATTTCATCGAACACATTAGGAGCATAATGATGGCGTGATACTAATTCATGATGTATTCACTAACTAATCTTTTTTTCACTAAGTTAATGCTCTTTATGATGTTATATTCAGAGACAAATTTCTTGCATTTTTATCTGCATGAAGCATTTCCTACAGGAAAAAAGGGAAACAGAAGGGAAAGAAAACTAACATATTTAAAATTACCTTGCCTATTAGCGTGAATCTCCTCTTGATCTTGAGGGTTAAATTCATCAACTGACTGGTAGATGAGCCCTTCGGAAATATCAAGCAAACCCAAGCATTAATTTTTTTAAATTTATTTCCTACCAAAAAGGCTATTTTTTTGTTGGTCCTTAAACAAAATCAGATATTTGTATTTGGACAAAATAATCAACTCATACTTTATGAGTTAACTCTCAACTTCCTCCTTAAAATATTATTTACCTATTTCATCTTTACACTATTTTTTTGTTAAATGTGGTCATTAACTCTCAACTTCCTCTTAAAATATTGTTTACCTATATATTTCATCTTTACACTATTTTTTTGTTAAATGTGGTCATTGTATGAACACACAATTAAATATTTAACAGATAAATAACGTGAGAGGTTTCTTTACATTTCTTCATGGGTTTTTATCAATCGGTCTTTTATTTTTCCCAATCAAAAGAAACTTTTAGCTAATTTTTCTCCATATTTTTTTCACTCTTTATTCCTTTTTTAAATTGAAAAATTATTTTTTAAATTACATAAAATACATGAAATGCAAAACAAATATTATTATACAATTAATCTCTTGAATATTTGATTGTGAACTCACAAAAAGACCACATTGAACACATACACATAGTTTTAAAAAATAGATAAATTAATGATAACACATGCTACTTGCAGTTCAAACCTTGGCAATCAAATAAACAACCTTGTTGCCTTCTCTATAAGTGAAGGAAAACCAGCGTAAAGGAAAATGACAAGCCTCCAATTGAATAGCCTTGCTAAGGTTACCAAAGGCAGATAAGCAATCTTTATCACTATTTAACTCATCGATAACCACATTGAAATTTTTAGTAGTACAATATTTCCAATTGAGCCATTTTTTTCCTTTCACTTGTGACAGTATAGTAGTAATATCAAGTATTTAATGTTAATTGGGTATATGAAACATAGCCAAATTGGTATATTTAACTGTGGAAAAAATAGCCACAGTGATATTAAATTTAATATTAATATCATAATGTGGCACGCGAAAGAAGAATAAAATATTGGAGAAAGAATCTTACTGGAAATGCGAATTTGATAATTTAGCCATAAATAACATAGTCTTAATTATCATCACTTTCTCTGAAAGCGTATCTTATAAGGTTTTTTTGGGTATTTTATTAGATTTTTATTGGGACTGATAAGAAATATTGTAGTAGGACCATTTTATATACCATTTGAAACATTCAAGTATCTAATATTAGAATACATTTAATTTGTTTAAATCACAAAATTAGAAAGTTTAGTCTTAACAATGGCTCCTTCACATTAATATCAAATATTAAAATGAACAAAACTTGTTGAAAGTACATAAACTCTCGCGACTCCTAAAATTGGGTCAGGACGGAACTTGACCCAGTTTTAGGGGGGAGGAGGGTATCCAATTAAATTGATTTAAAATAGAACTGAACCAAGTTAGCACTGCTTTTGGATGATTGCCACACACCCTAAGATCTTATTTATATTTATCTCATTGGGGCAGGTTCGAAGTGACATTGGGTCGCACGCTCAGCTGAATCGCACGTGTGAACAAACAAACAAGTGAAACAACATAGGCACCTACTTTGACTGAAGTTTTTCCCTCCTAAGACTACTAGTTTGCGGTCCGTGCAAAGTACGGTATTTTTGCTACAGTAATCCCACTTTTTAATATGGCATGATTTGAATTTTTGAAAGTACTACAGTATCCCGCTCTGCTACAGTATCTTTTAAATACTACAGTATACTCGTGTGCTACAGTAGTATTTTAACTAATTATTAGCTACAGTAATAATGCTACAGTGAATGTTGCTGTAGCATTTACTGTAGCATTAACAGTGAATCTCTGATCCTCCTATTTGTATAAAGGAATAGATTAGTGGGCACCCCGTGCAAAGCACAACCCCTATTTTTTTAAGCACTGTATTTTGAATTTGATTCTCTCTAAACTTTGATACATTTGATTTAATTATTGTATGATTAAAATTAGAAATCATATCCACTCCTTCATACTTAAAGAAAGATTGAAGTTTTAATACATTTTATTTAGAAATCATATCTACTCCTCTATACTTAAAGAAGGATCCAAGTTTTTAATACATTTGATTTACTTTACTGTTTATTATACAGTAAATTATTGTTTATAATATAGTAAATTACTGTAGCATAAATAATAACTTCAGGTGTAGATTCGATTACTATTTACGCAAAAGTAAATTACTGTAGCATGACCATTAACTTCGAGTACATAGGACCAGATTTGATTTAATGCTACAGTATTTTACTATACAATTATTGTAGCATGAATAGTATTCTTTAGATTCTCCTTTAAGTATAGAGGAGTAGATACAATAAGATAATATAGAATGAATAGTAGCTTTAAGTATAGATGCTCAGATCTCATTTACTGTTTGCACTACAGTAAATTACTATAGCATAAACAGTAATTTCGAGTGTGGAGGGCTAGATCTGGTTTACTGTTCGCGCTATAGTAATTCACTGTAGCATTTACTATTGCATGAACAGTGATTATTTATATCCTTCTATAAGTATAGAAAAATAGATTGTGGCAGCTTAAGACACGTACTCGTCATCGAGGTCGTTTTGCCTTTGGCTGCGACTTTGTTTAGATACATAGTCACATGACTGAAACGTGATTCTCATGTGATGTGCCCCCTTCCTATTGCATAATGAGTTGGCCATGAGTTGGCATGGCCAACTAATTATGCAATAGGGAGGGGACACTTCACCTGTCCCCTCCATTGGTCCCATATTTTGGGTCCTTAAATTATTTTCCTATATATATAGGGAAAAATGTGTCGGGGCCCTAAAAACAGAAATTTCATATGCTGCAGCCCCTCCTACTTTCCCCCATGTGGTTCAGCCCCTTGAAGTGTGATATTTTTTGTTGTAGCCTCTTTTTAGTAATTATTACATGCTAGCTAAGCTTAAATCCCCAAAATATCATTATCCTCTCCCCTCAATCCCTCAGACTCAGCACTCATATCCTCTCTCTCTCATCTCCTCTCTCTCTCTCTCCTATCTCTCTCAAAAACCAAGGGCTTTCTCAAGCTCGTCGCCCTGGCCCTCGCCCTCCTCGTCGTCGCCGCGTCGCCTCCCCTCCTCTCCTCCGCCCGCCTTCCTCGCCATAGCTCGCCGCTGCTCCCCGCCTCACCCTCGACTACGCCGAAGTCCGCCGCTGCCGCTCTCCGCCTCACCCTCGAGTTCACCGCCGCCTCCTCCCCGCCCGACCTTCGAGTTCAGCCTTCCCCCCACCCTTGAGTTCAGCCTTAAGTTCAGCCTTCAATGCTCCACTTTGAATTCACCACCTCGATCTCATCTATTCACTTCTCTTAAATAATTTGGAAGAAAAAACATCCACTGTAATTTATCTACCACATTAAGAAGCTCAGTCCGTCC